CTCATCAAAATCCCAGGTCTGTTAGAGAATACAAATTTCAGCAAGAGTTTTCTGTTAATGTCTGGCTTGGAATTTGGAACGACGTTTTAGTGGGACCGTTTTTTTTACCTGCAAGATTAAATGGGGACCGTTTTCTAAATTTCTTGGAGAATGAATTTTCTGACTATTTAGAAAACATCCCATTACAACAACGTACTGAAATGTGGTTTCAATTAGATGGATGCCCTGCTCATTACAGCAGAGTCGCTAGAACCTGGTTAGATAGAAAATTCCCACAACGATGGATTGGACGTGGAGGAGCAGTACATTGGGCAACTCGTTCGCCCGACTTAACGCCATTAGATTTCTATGCATGGGGTACTCTGAAGCAAGAAGTTTATTCTTCGCCTATTCAATCAGAGCAACATTTGAGAAATCGTATCGTAGCTGCAGCGAACAGAATATCGCAAGAACAGTGCCTGGCTGCTACAAGAGCCGTGTTTGACAGATGCAATGCTTGTATTGCTGCAAGAGGTGCACATTTCGAACAAAATCTTCATTAAAAAGTTTATAAATAAAATAATTAAAATAATAAATTAAATATATTTTTTTCTTTTTTCGTGATTTCCTGCGAAACAAAGCAAAAAGGAGCATATGTCTATAGGACTTTTTTTCTTAGTTTTTTACTCCTCTACACGCTCCCGAAGTTTTGCCATTTAATTTGGAAACACCCTGTATATTGAAGCGTGTATATACGTCAAGATACACCAAGCACCGATTGAACACAACGTTGCTTTATCAAGACTGTCGCAAATACCTTGACATCATTCATAGTCATAGTAAAAATTATTTTTTATCCGTAAAGAGATAAACGCTTTAAAAATCATTGTAATCCCTCATTGACATGCAAAAGACAGTGACTGGTATTTATGTTAATCTCGATTGGAGGGCTCGCGACCGAATTTTGCGTCCGAGGTAAAAACGCGAGAAAACCGCGCATCCGGTATCCGAGTCTAGAGATAATACCGATCCGAGGGCGTATCATCAGTCTGTCGCCCACGAAAAATCCACGAAACGTGCAATCGCATAATACAGAAAATCCTGAGTAGGCGGCGACGACCTCCGATGTCTGTGTGCCAGCAAGAATGTAACGTGGAGTCGCTGCGTCCGACGCTCGAGAGGTTTATAGCGGCATTATTAGTACGACGACACTCAGCGTGCGACGCTCTGGCACGACGCTTCATAAATATAAATTCGAATGCATAATCGATGAAAGCGAGCGTCTTATACCGAGCGATGGCAGCTGCATGACAAATGGACGCGTCGGAGTCATCATCATCATCATCATCATATCGTCGTTGACATCGATCGGGAGAGGAATACGCGATACTTTAAAGCAGAAAAATTCCATTACAACGAAAGTCGTAGCTATTCAATTTATATGACATTTCGAATTATGAGTATAAGATCCGCGAGCATAAATATTCAAATATTTTTACTTTTAATTCATCATGAAAAATTGATGGGCTATGTTGGATGAATTTTGTGTTCTTTAACGGAAAATGGGGATGATTCTGTAAAATCGATAATAATTCCATTAAAATAACTATTTTCTTCCGATTTGTCGACAATATTCATCGTCACGTTCATCCCCTCTCTCCCCCCGATGGAAACAATGACAATCCGAACAATGAAATATAATGTTAAATTGGATTTTCCGTTTGGATTAAATAAATAGTATAGAGTGACGGCAAAAGGTATCATTTAATTCCAAACGATTCGGCCAAGGCCATATTCGTGCAATGACTGCTCACAATGCGTATCGCTGTACGTAGCACTGCATATAATATCGCGGTTCAAGTTTAGCTACCGCATCCTCCTCCGCGCATACATTGGCGATCTCGTTCGCCGTTTATCACGCGTCCCACTTCCCGTCAGGAATTCATTTATCTGCAAATTATTTTAGTCGGAATTACGCCCACGTCCTCGGCGAAGTTATTTAAACTATAAGTAGCATAGCGAGTGGTTGAATTACCGTACGATGAAAATATATAGTTTATCGAAAATATGTAATTACATGTAATTATTAAAAACTTAGGAGTTCCGCTATATGTATGTGTGTTGTATTTCTTACATAAATCTAAATCAGGTCTGTCCAATTTGAGCTCCAGAGCCAAAACGCAAAATCATCGATATAAAAAATTCAATGAGTAAAATTTTAGGAACTATAAATGTTGTTGATAAGCGTCACTTAGATGCGTATCAACACTTTACAGTCCCCGAAATCTTATCCACATTGAATTTTTTTACGTTGATGGCTTTGCGTTTTGGTTCCGGAACTCAAATTGGACAGGCCTGATCTAAATGAAGAGCCTCAATTGCCAAAATTATTTACAAATAATTTTGAAGCATCAATATCATGCATACACTTTCATATGCAGTCTTGCAATTTGAATATTATTAGCGCGAAATGATAATGCTGCCATAAAGATAAAAGATCATTTTAATAGTTGTTTCATTTTTGTGATTTTTCATCTTTGTAATATTGAGAATAATATACATCATCGACAAACGACAACTTCAAAATATGTCAATCTCGATGCATCAAACTGTATGATCAAATAAACGTGACAAATCCCACGTCTTCTCTCTATTCGTCTTCCATGGAATCTTTCCTACCTGTTTGACAGGTGGTTGTTTCATGGGAAATTCTTTGTTTCACTGCGTATTGGAAAGCTCTTCGTTCTGCGCAAGCACGTGAGTTCCATATGCCTGTTCAATTTCTGCAAATGTCTTGTCTTTAGTCTCCACCATGCAGAAGATTACGAATAATATGGCCAAGGCACACAGTAGAGCAAAGAAGGAAAACACCACGGAATAATCTAGTACTTTAACGGCGCTTGGAAAGGATATTGTAACCGTAAACGCCAGTAGCCAATTAAAGAAAGCCGCGCTAGACGATGCTACGCTCTTCAAGCGCGTAGGAAAAATCTCGCCCATGTAAGCCCATGGAATTGGACCTGAGAAATTGAACGCTTGATAAAAATTTTTGCTAATAATTGTGTTTACCGCATCTGTCATCAAAAACCACAGGAACATAATTTTATAATACCTACATTAATTATAAACGAAGATCAAACTTAATATAGATTTGTTTAAAGATTTTGATCAGAGAATATTAGTTGTATAATGTATAAGAGAAAATTTAACTCTAAAAAAGTTGTAAAAGCAAATATGTGATGTAATACATAACTCTTAGTTTCTTCTTCGTAAGAATCTAGTATTTTCTGATAGCTCGATCAATATAAGTGTATTGTCAATTCAAGCGTACTCATCGTTATTACTAACCAGCTCCAAGGCAGAAGGCGAGTATGTAGACACACACCGATGTGAGTGGCACCCAGTATATTTGATCTGCTAACTGTGGCTGATAGTTTGTCAGGACGAAGAAACCCGCCAAGGCCGCCAAGCAGGCACACATCGTCGCCAAGGAGATCACCATAAGTAGCTTGCGTCCCAGCTGCGAATGTTTCGATCGCATCCATAATGCCAACCGACCGTTAGATAAATTACAGATCGCGAAATCTGTGAAACATGTTCGACATCACAATAAACCTATTAAAGTATAACCTTGTCGACCAACAGTGCCGCTGCCACGCAAGCTACCACCTGGACGACACCGAAAATGACCAGTTCCAATTGCGACTCCATGCCGACGCCTGTCGCTTCGAGGATCGTGAAACCGTAGAATATTATGGCGTTAATGCCGCTAAATTGCTGGGCAAACATTAGACCGTAGGCCACGGCCAGAGTCTTCAACACGGGCTTTCTCATGAAGGCCGAGATGTTTGGTTTTTGAAATTTGCTTCTCTCCACTTGTTCCTGTTTTTTCCCATTTAGATATGTGCATTAATAAAATCCGCGCGAAAGTGATTATTAAGCATTTTTATCGATTGTATTATTAACAAAATTAGAAACGTTACTTATAAAACAAATAGAAATTAAAAATTCTAATTCTTAGAATTTTAGAAAAAAAACGAAGAATTAGTTAAACTATATTTTAATAAGATTAAAATTAAACTATATTAGTAGAAATGAGTATAAGTGAAGTTAAGATTAAATCACAAGTTAACCAGATAATAAAAAATCGGGCTTTTAAGAAATGTGTGAATTGACCAATAAATTTATAACAATGGAATCGCGATGTTTAACCAACCTTGAATGCGTTTATCTCCGGCTCAATATCGAAATTAGGTCCGCGAAAGAACCGCATAGACTTTCGCGCATCTTCTTCCTTATTTTTGATCAAGTAGTACAACGGGCTCTCCGGCATGAAGGACATCGTCACGCCGAACACGATCGGTGCGATGCAACAGAGACTGGATATCGCGATCACGTTTCGCGTGAAACCGGTGATGTACACGTATAGTATACCGATCACGAGCAGCAACTGGAAGAAGACGCCCGTCGTCCCTGTTACGAGAAAGGAAGAACCGCATAATGAAGCTGCTACTCTTCTTCTTTGCCTCTCGTCGCTCGGCTAAGCGACGGTAAATCGCACGCGCATTAGCAATGCAAGGAGAACGAGCTCGTGAGCTGAACGATGATAGGCACTAATAACATCGCTCCGCAAGCCGTCTTATTCTGTTATCCACATTATACCACGTGTCATTATTACGCATTGAATCATACGCATTTCAAATTGTTTTCATCTCACGACAATGGTATCCGGTTTCATATTCTTTATATAATATCACATGTACTGTGCTTCTATTGTATAATACCATATAATGAACTTCTATTAAATACCATTTAAATAGCATTTTAAAGTAGATAATATGACGACAATGGCTATATTTAGCAGAAAAAGCAGCTTTGTAACTATTGTAAAATTCTTTAATATGATTGTCTTGCCCTTAGTTATTCATTGGATCTAAATGTATAAATCATATTAAATATTTTACATCAGATATAAAGCTTTTTCTGCTGAACGTAGCCATATCACAAAATTATATGTTAGCGATTTCTTTTTCAGATACATGAGCTTTGAATAAATGACTCAACCTATGACGTAAGTTATCTACAAGGGTCTAGGATTAATCGCAAAAAGACGATATACCTCTAATATGTTTCTCGGAGATCTCTGCGGAATACATAGGCGCAAGGACGCAGCACATGCCGCCACAAGCGCCAGTCACGACCCTGCCGATCACGTAGAGCGGTACCAGTGTGCCCGCGGAAATGAGTAGAATCCAGCCAATGATGATGGCCGGCACCAGGACCATCATTGTCCACTTCCGGCCGATCCTGTCGACTAGCAGGGGCACGGCGATAGTGCCTACCGCCGCGCCTACCGGGAACACCGATGCGATCACATTTATCGCAAAGTCGTCTAACTGGCTCCTCAGTATTTCGACGCACGGAGCGCTCCAACCGAGGCCGCATCCCAACGAGAATCCACCCATGCAGGCTGCGCGAAAGAAGGAAAGGAGTTCGTTGACCGCGAACACGACCACCAGGATTTACGTTACACGTATGGCGATTTGTTCGCCCCGGCGCGTCCGTAACGACGGCCGTTCTTTAAGCCGCGGTGTACTTGAAATACTCCCTCCGCCCTGCCCCTTATCCGACGTTTTTTTTTCTCACCGGATGTTCATTATGGTGCTACGGCGGCATTTAATAATTCCGACATGTTCACCGATGTGCCCTCCGCGTTTTCTCCCAGCCATCCGTCGTCGTCACCGTCATTGTCGTCGCGACGGTGCGATTGCTCAGTCATTAACCCTTTGACTCTCTACGTCATGCACATCGTTTGATGCACCGTAATTTAGCACGCAAACACAAAAATGTCACACGAATATCATGAAGTTTCGAGGTTTCAAAGGTTATCCCGAAAAATTTACCAGCTCCCCTGAAATCGACTATCTTACGCAAAGGAGGAAACCTGCAGCAGCGGCGGCGTATTGGGGAATCCTCCTATGAAATAGTTCGATGATGGTAGTACTCCGTTCGTGCTCTGTCATTCTTATTTAGGATCGATCAAAACGATTAAACGATGATTTTCGGTATACCATCCAGAAACGACTGCTCCTCCTTCGTCTAGTTTCGTTAGCGATGTTCATTCTTCCTTAATTCTTCCAGCTATATTCGTTCATAATAAGAGAAATACATACAATGTATCATTATTATTTTTGTAGCGGCGTAATTTTGAAATGGTGACACAATAACGGGTCAAATTACGTGTATGATGTATATATATGTGCAAATTTTGTATTGTATTACTATGAGAAAATAATATGAAACAATTTTCAAGCATAACAATCCAGGAACTATCGCGCAGCTCGACCTCTCAATCCTCTATGTTCATTTTTAATAATCGAGTCACACTGTATTTCATTATTCCAACGTTGCAGTTAGGCGCATTGCACAATGGAAAATCGGTTAATCGTAAACCAGTCGTAAGGTGTTCGCGACCCAGTATACGACGGGAAGCCTCTTCCTTCATTCTCTTCATTATTATCCTTATCGCGTTCCGTGCAAATTCTATTCAAGTGCTATTTCGAAGTGCTTATACGATCGTTTTATAAGATTGCTGTGAATTACTTCAAATTGGTGTCATAATTTGCGTGATTGCCAAATGATCGTCTGCATGACAAAACTTTCGCTTCTAAGCGACACGAGACGAACAAAGAACAACAATCGAACTCTTCTAAATTTTCACTATGTTATAAATAATATAAATAATGTAGCAAAGGCTAAATGCGGAATAGAATCAACAATTTTCAAAAATAAAAGGCGAGCATTTTTCTCGACAATGATTATAGAGGAGAAGGTGGTATTATGGCCAGTGTATACTATTGTATATATTGTGACATCTTTTAATATCTCCGCTATTATACAGCGAATTCTAATAATTACTTATGGAATTATAATATTAGTTCAGTAACTCGTCGTTACACCTTGACGCTAATATTAACAATACTCAATAACCAGCACTTATTATAACGCATTTTTACTTTCAAGTATTTCGAAACGTTTCTGAGGTACATTTTAGCATTTAATTACACCTACTTCCCCTCATTTTTCTTAAACTTGTCATCACATGAATACATGTATTTTTGAGTGTGTTATTTGCTATTTAATATTTTATTTGACTGTATATATTTTGAGTTATGTAAATTTAAACAATACCATGACATTTTGCTAATGTGGCCCTCTATGGATATTGATTATTCACGATCTCTTTTTTGAGGTTTTCATATCAAAATAATTATTTGATATGTTCAATTGTAGCTTTACTGTTAATCTATAGTTTATATTGCGTGTTCTATTTTTAGTACTGAGATTTTTAGTACTGAGAGCTTATATGCAGAAGTTATGTGAATGTATATACATTCATTTGCATACATTTTAAAATGTTTTACTTTTTTGTTAATTTTATACCTAACCAAATACTGTTTTCTAAACAAAATTAATATTTTAAGGCTATTTTTATGGAAGGCCACATTACCACCCATTTTTTTCTTCGAGTCATTAAGCAATGTCGCCACATTTTTATTAATAGTATCCTAAGTAATAAATATTTCCTAACTTTAAGTCCAGAATCGATTCAATAACGAATATAACTGTCAAATTTTAAACTTAAATATTGATTATTAACAAAGTTATTGTGTAAAATGTAACTGGGGTGCCATAATACCACCTTCTCCTCTATATGTATAGAACCATTTTCCTATTCGGATGTTAATTTCAGACATTTAGTACTTCACCCTTTGAACAACGTAAATGACCGTCCTCGTGTCCTGCAAATACAAGACAAGCGCTAATGGCGAAACAACATAACGGACATGCTAATTAATTATAGCGTCAATTATGTTTTCGCGAACTCGCAAGCAAGGGTCAGACGATCCTAAACTACCAAAGGACACGATCGACGAAGCTGGCGCATTTTCGTGCTCCAATAAACTTGGCGACTCTCTCGCGTACCGTACAGAGCGTCGGAGGTAATAGGGATAACGTCCCTTCCTTACGCCCGGTTACTTCGGCTAACGACATTCAAATTCCATTAAGGCGCCGCGATGTGCGCTTAACAACTTTCGAATTGCAGATCGACTCCTAAGAGCGAAGGATTCTCCTCCGGCAATAAAACGATCGATACGAACAAGAGTGGAAACAAGACATTTATTTGTTACGTGACAGTGCATGACAATCATCTACAACTGTACTCGAAACTGCCCAGATAGATTACGAGATTTAATGAGAGTCACAAACGTCGTAACGTATCACACAAATACGCAATTCCGATACGTAATGTAATTAAATCCGTGGCAGCGTCCATTTACCAGATATTCGATTAACACGTTGAATGCCGTGATCGGTCATCGATAACTGGCACTGCGATATTGATGTGTTTCCCCTATATCCAATGTATTGCATCAAATTGTTTACGCGTCAATAGAAAACAGATTAAACGAGATAACGAATATATTTGCGAGAAGATAACATTTGCCTATCACAGAATTTAATGCGTAATCCCTAATTAAAGTTTTGTAAATGTAGTCAATATTCGAACCTGTATGCTCGACCCGTTCTTAAAATAATATGAAAAAGGTGACCTTACACGATCAATAATACTGACAGAGTATGCATTAATATGTTTAGTATTTTTACAATCTTACGCGATCAGTAATATTGACGATATATTTCACTTTAGTTTTACGCACAATATCTATTGCAATGTGACATACTGTGACATGGATATAATAAACCAATACTGATGCTCAAGAATCAAAATTCAGATTATCGTCAGTATTTTACATCAATCCATCAATATTAATCACACACGATCAGTAATATTGTTAATATTTGTTAATACTGACAATATTATTGATTGTGTAGAGTCACCTCAATATATAGTTTCAAATCCTTCGATATTGTTTCATGTAGGTAATGTGTGGTTGCGTGAAAGAATACGTCAATGTTATTCCACTAATAATAGTAAAAACTTTAAAATTGCGTAAATATCGATCTCGTGGAAGAAACTATTTTTATACAAAATTCAATTTACAGCCAATTCAAGGTTACCGTTGTTATTCTTGTGAACTCTTCAATTACGACGATCATTTACATATGTCTTCGATTAATTAAATTATCGCGCGTCAATAGGTATTATATAATCTACATTGTTACGCACAGCGATTGTTTGACAAATGATCACGTTGAATGGAGACAGTCAACAAATATGTTATATAATGCCACAAATTCTCAAATTAGATTGTTTTTCTAGAATTTAATAGTATAACGATGATATTTTTATGCTTCTACGGTTTCTCGTGATTTCTCGCTCAATTTGTATGAAAATTAGATGGTGATGCTCAGAATCAAGTCTGATCAAATAATCCTATTTTGGTAGACAACAGCAACCAGCGAAGAGAATTAGACCTACATAACCGATAACAATAAAAGAATATCGTGTATGTATGAATCTTGATCGGCGTTAGCTCGTACAATGAACGTAAGAAAGAAAAAAGCACGATGTCTCCAAATGGAATTCCCCTAACGTAAAACGATAAGAGCCGTCGCAATATGTGTGTCTGGAGAAAAATTCTCTGTTACTCGAGAGCATATTGTTCCCCCGACATATGAAGAATTCACCCCGTTACTACCCGCCGCCCTCACGAATTTATTTATAATGGAGCGATAGTCGTTCAAAAACTCATGCCGTTACTTTACTTACTGCTTTCCAAGTATCTAAAGACAGCGAATCTACTTCTTAAAGAACACGCGTTTTCATAAATCGTCATATACTATCATTTAAACAACTTTACTCAGAATATATTGAAATTATCCTGCAATAATCTAAGTCACTACCAGTTATTACATATAATAAATTTTAATGATATCGACGATAAGAAAATAATAAGTCATGCGTCGCGATCTAATTGTCATCGAGTTGGCCTTCGCGAATGCGACAGTCGCAATTGTGCCAATGATTAAAGTTCTTGAAATTGCGACGCATAATTTCGCGCGACGCATTTCGCGCAGACGATGCAATAATTGTCTTCCGGCATTGTGTGCCAAGCTGCTTTTTACCGAACGAACGAACCGAAGAGAATGTCTCTCGAACACGTTGTGTTCACCGACACAGCACCGGAGAGTCCCGGGTCCTCCTCTCTCACCGTGAGAAAAGCTCATTTGCATATAAATATAAGTAAAAAGTGCATTTGCATTTAAATGTGCGACCTGGGGCCGTGGTACTCCCTCTCTCGACGACTTCGACATCGTACTCTCGATCGAAAGTTAACGGCGGATAGACCGCATGATAATGACACACGAGAGGCTTAATAAAGGTTTAATAAAAGGGAATGAAAATGAATGACTCTATCAATTTCCCCGAAACAATTACTTCTCATCGAAATACATTAATATCATGAAGGAGAACAAATATCGTTTTATTATTTGGATATTTTCATATATCCTCATCTTGTTTATATATATATATATATATGTCTAAATTTAAAAGACCATATATATCTTCATACATGGAAAAAATACTTATAAAAAACAAATCGTAATTGCTGATTGAATAGATTGCTACTGAATATATGACCTAGATTCAAATCAAAACAAGCGAGCATGAATAAATAAATAAATAACTTCAATGAATAATAACATCGTAGTATAATACCATCCGCACTTATTGAAGTGATGCAAATTGTTCATTCATCCGTTCATTTATTTAATCGTTTATTTAATTTTTTATTTTATTTTAGTCACATTCAATTAATTATATTCTTTTGTTTATTTACATTAATGCACGCTCGCTTGTTTAATCTAAATCTAGCTTAAAATTCAACGATTGTAGATAATTGCAGTCCAAGTTCCGAGAGACGCAAGGAACTATGTATCAGTCGCGGCAGATTGCGAATAGAACTAGCACGTGTCAGTGCTAACCGCGAAGTCGGTCGGCAAGTTCCTGAAAGCGGATTTCAGCTGCAAGCTACTACCATCGCGTCCAGCCATATGAGGCAAGAAGAGAACAGGTCGGTAACCACCACGGTGCTATGCAGTTGCATGAATCGAGAAGCTGTAAGACGAGAAACGTTTAACCGCAAGTTGTAAGATATAAAGTAGCCTGCCGGCGCGAGAAGCAAGATAACGTTTCAATTAGTTGCAAATGCAACTCGATCCGCAGTACTCGGCCACAATAC